TATGAGCATTCTCAGCAAGGACATCATTTTTCTATCATGGTCCTTTAAAATATTTATAGCTGTTGGTTTACCATTATGTCAGAGTATTTCCTTACCCTTTAGCATATCTCAATACACTTTCCAACAGAATAGTGAGTATCTGGTATTAGAGATTCTTTGGTTAATAAAAGAGAATTTATGGCTAGCACCTGACTTGGGAATATGTGTTGCAAACAAAGCAGTGGTTTTTTCCATCTGACTGACTTACAGAATTTTTGGAGCTATGTGACAGCTTCTAAGACAACAGTCCAGACAAGAAGATGGAAATTAATTACCATTTTACTGCAAAAGACAACAGGCAACCTTCTGCCCCCCTACCCCAAGACCCTATTTGCAGAGGATCATCATTGGATATAGTCCTTCTGCTGGTTCTCTACACAGAAATAAATTGGAATCTGGCTGAACAACCTTGAAGGAAACATCTTTACTCGGAAGATCAGTGAACACTTTCTGCTGAATTACTTCTTCACCCAAACCCCCATCTCCCCACTGTACAAGCAGGAGATATTAGACCTAGGATATATTAGGGTATGTTAAACCAGTAGGAGACCTAGGAAGAGCTGGGGTAGTTCATGAAGGCGTTCCTCAACCCAACAGCCAAAAAGGCGCTCTTCTCTCACTTCTTTAAAAGCTTCAGTTTCACTCAAGGTGTATCAGAAGAGTGAGGGCTAAGGTTTGGTGAGACTGAGCAGATGAAAAAGTGTGAGAAAGAAAGAGTATTCATAATCCAGCACATGGTGTATTTTTTTTTTATGTGAAAACTTGGTTCAGGACTCATCAAAACTGCGCGTTTTTATGTAAGCATGTATTTGTTTTACAAACTGGGATTTTTTTTATGATGCAAATTATTTAATTAAAAAAGTTCCTCATAAGATCAGTTTGACATCCTGCTCTGTCTTTATTACTCCATTATATCCATTTAAGGACAAGGTGCTCTGTAAGTGATGGTGTATGTGAAGTCTTTGTGGTTTTACATGAGTTCACACCTTGTAGTCGGATTATTCTGCACCTCTGAGGCCTGAGCTCTGATCAACGTGAATGATGTCCTTCCCCTGCGTGGACTCTCTAGTGTACAGTGATATAGCTCAACATTTTTCCTCTCCCTCAGTGTGGAACTAATCTGATCTCTTTCTTTTCTATCCATCTGCTCATTTTCACTTATTCAATACCTCTGAAGTTTTCTGTTCTGTATCGTATGTGATTAACATTAACTAACAGATTCAAAATATACTGTGCAGGACCTAGAGAGAAAGTGATGACATCATCTTTAAGAAACCTGCCTAAAAATAGAGCAAAATGGAACCAATGCAGCATGTGCTAACTGAATGAAACCCTGGCACCATGATAGAGCTCAGCTAGTGATTTGGCAATAAGAATTATCATTCCTTGTGGTTTTTGCTAGTCATCAAGGAGGTTTTGGTCAAAATAATAATCGTTATATTTTTCAATGTTGTGGAAGCAAAAATAAAATTCTTGTCAGTGAACTTTGCAAATGTCACAAAACCCGTGCAATGATAATTGATGAGGAGGACAGGTTTAGCTCTGCAGAAAAGCGTGAATCACATGCTAGACTGTGCCCACATTATGGATGAGAATGTATGACACACTTATCAGTGGTGTTTGTATTTTAGGAAACAGTAACTTGGAAGCAGGTTTGAGCTGAACATGAGCTCAAAATGTGATAGAGTAGCTAAGAAAACAGTGACAATCTTGTGTCTAAAAGGAGGGAACTATGGAATAGCAGAGATGGTGTTATCACATGATGGTTTATCAGTGAAGTTTTGCATTCAGTTCATCCATCTGCACATTAGCAGCATCGCTAAAATGGCAGGAAAGGCCCAGAAAAGAATGATGAAGAGTATTAGCAACCTGGAAAATCTTTCTAATTCTGAGAGTACAGAATTTCAATCTATTTAAGCTTTGGCAGCATAAATATATTGCAAGACATTAAGCTAGTGCAATACTTTACAGAACATTATCTTTGCTGTGCTGACTGCCCACAAATATGTTCTTTACCTTGTGGAAAACACGAGGTTGTTTTGTCCTCAAGGAAAAGTGGGTTAGCTGTTTTACATTCACCATGGTTAAAAGTGAACACAAGAACAACTGCTGTAGAGTAGCTAATGTACTATCTTCTTGTTGCCTCACAGTAACTCACCCTCCAGTGCCGCATCCTCAGTGAATTCAAAAGTAGGTTAAAAGATGACATGGTCGGGACACACAAGTACAAACATGGGAAGCTGTCATATTTTTGTGGTCCCTTTAAACTAACACAATCCAGCAGCTGGAAGTTGAAGCTGAAAATATTGAGACTGAAACTTAAAACCTAGTTTTCTAGAGATCTATCTCTTACATTCTTGAAGATGAAATTACAAATGCTTCTAAAAGCTCACATAGAAGTTTTATCTTTGATACAGGGAAGCCCTTAAAAAAATCTTGGATCTGATTTGTCCAAGCAGTCACATTACACAAATAAAGACTTTTCTTTTTGAAAATCAATATATTTGTAAGACCAAAAAGTTTTGAGGCTGCTTCTGCCTCCTTGACGTGTAATCCCCACAGCCACCATACTCCCAGGAGTATAAATGGTAAGAACGTCTGAACTGAAAATCAGTTTATGGATTATAGCTACGTTGATTTTAAATGATCCTTTATAAATTATGATTTCCTTATACATCATCCCTTATAAATTACGATTTACTCATACAGAAGATACAGCCAGCTGCAAATGAGGTTAAAGTTAGGAAAGGCATGCTGAAGGCTCAGCTCTTACTCTTGCTTGTCAGCATCACAGCATCATATGAATGGACTGCGCTAGCATTCACCTGAAATGTGAATTTATAACCACCTTGCCATCACTGAAGACACGCCAATAGAAAGGTTGCCCAAGGTACATGTATGTAAGATACACATAATGCCTGTTTGTCTGAGGGTTTTTTTTGTGAAATATATACAAATATATTATAACCTGTTGTCAATAACCTGCTTCCCTGCTGCTCAATAGGATATTGCACTCATAATGTCCTCTTCCTTAACACTTGATGCCTTCAGACAGTAAAAAAGGAAGAGGTCATCTCTCTATTTACTTACAGCCCAAATCCTGTCCCCAATCCCGATAAAAGCCCACAGAAATGACACTTCTTGTCATTTGAATCCAAAGAGGAGTTGAGCTTCAGTGGCTGAACAAAGATAAAATTTGCACTTGGTTTTTAATTTCATGGAGGAGCTTTAGGAAAGTATATCCTACACTACTTGCCTCAGCCTTTCCTCTTGGAAGGTTAACATTACATTTTCAGAAACAAAGTATCTTGCATGCAAGATCACTTTGCTTTTTGCGCACACACACATGGACACATGTGCACAGATGCATATTAAAGGACTTGCAGAAAATTTGAGCCAAAATCTGACAGGAGTCAATGTTCTGTCAAAATCTCATTGCAGGAGCCTTGGACAGCCACACTCACAGGTTTCCAAGAGCAGGACCTGATGTACGAGGTTAATCAGTCAGAAGGATTCATTTTGTTGAGGGATCAGAAACCCAAAGCTGGCTCTATATAATACCTAAATCCCTTAATGCAACCAGCAGAGCCACAGTGCTTCTGTCCTCTAAAGCTGATACTTTCTACGAATTCAGGATACCTGTTCATTCCTCTTTATTTCCAGGCCAATTGCTAAGGGAAGGGTTTAGTGGTTGGAAGAAAGGCAAGCTCACAGTTCAGAAAGACGGCAGATCAGCTGCTGGCCCCTTTGTAGTCAGTAGGACTTCTACCACTGGTTTCAGTGCGAGATTTCACCAAATACTTTAGCATATGTAAAGTTGTATTTCTGTAACTTTTTCGGTAGATTTATTTACGAGATCTCTACATGCAGAGGAAAATCAGAAATGCTTCTGAACTCTGTTTTCACATGGAGGTGAAAGATTTTCCCAGAAAATAACAAACATGAAAAATTGCAGACGTATGTGTATTATTCATTAACAATTTCTATAATGTAAATTCAAAGCTCCAACCTATTGACTCCTAAGGATGAGATACTTTCATGGACAACTTTAGATTGTGCCAAGACAAAATCCTGCCTGAAACTCATCAGAACTTATGATACTCAAAACCTGAATCTGAATTTTGTTCTTTGATCTGATTTTTATCAAAAATCAGCAGAACACATGGGAATCCTACAGTTGATTACATTTCTCCATCTCACCATGAAGGCAGGGAAAATGGAATGGAATGACTTCTGATGGAGGGGACATCATGTTCCTGGACTAGCCCCTTTTCTCTTCAAATAGGTAGTGAAAGCTGACTAATCACATTAACATTTAAGGACATCATTTGATACTGGGAGATACCGTTGTTCATACTATTCTGTAAAGAAATGACCTGAATAGGAAATAAGTTTTTCATGAATTTCCCATTTATCAGACTAACAAGCATACACTAACCAGTGTGTGTAGAAATTATGATACAGTTTGTGGAAATCTCATAACATAGGCTGTAATTCCTGAAATGGTTAAAACAAAAAAAAAAAAGGATCTGTTAAGAAGTCTGGAGACAGGATAAATATCGTCAGTTCCTTCTGCACCAGAATTGCTATGAGAACCCCCATATGTTTTGCGACGTTTGCTTTCTGTCAACCTGTTCAGCTAGTCTGTGATATTACTGAAGGAACTACAGAATAGGTATTAATGTATTTGTAGCAGACACTATCTGGTTAAAAACTGTAAATACTTACAGAAAAAGCTATGGGCTATTTATTTGACACACCAATATGCCCTTATCTCTCAATGGTGTTACGTCTGAAGAATGAGAGGTGATCAGATCAGACCAAAGTTTTAGTGAAATGGACTCACGGTTACAAAATATTTTACGGAAAATGGCCTTGCTGCTTCAAGTACGGTCACAAATATTCAGTTACAAGTTGAGTGTAAGTGTATGTAAAAAGATAAGGACACTATCTACATTTACCTACTCTGATCCCAGTTGGCTGCAAAAAGCAGAAGAATCTTCCTGCCACAATGGTCGCGATTTTCCAGCACCCCCGGGAACCCATCTGTCAGAGCCCGTTTGATTCCTGGGTCATCAGCCTTGAAGTTTTTGAACATATCCAGATTTAATTGGCGGTACTGGAAGTACTGAGCCAGCAGTCTGAACGCCTCAGTTTGGTGAAACTTTCTGGCTCGGAGAAATCTCAAGATGAAGGCATCATCTGTACGTAAAAACCCAATGTCAGGCCTCGTGATGATCATGTCCCTGACTTGCTGGATATCCTGATGCAGAATGTCTGGGTTTTCATTCAGTTCCAGGCGGGCTTTCTCTATAGTCTCTGGACTAAGTCCAGCTTGTAAGTGGGTCATGTCTGCAAAAACCTCTTTTCCAAATCCTTAACTTCAGGTATTTCAGTAGGAGAAGTGCTGATCCCATTCAACTGATGGTCCGCTGGGAGCGTGAGCCATTCAGAAGCTTTTTGTGCTCAAGCTGGTGTTATTTAACAACTGAAAGTGAAGGGCTTTTCTTATTCTTGCAGAAAGAGTAACAGGTAGTTCACAGGTAGTATAATCCATCCAAAGGAAAGTGTTGTTTATTCCGTCACTTACTAAAAGAAAAAACAAATACATAAAAGAAAGATTAAATATGTATATAAAGCTTACAGGAATGCATTTCTGAACTTTATATAGCAATAAAATTGCTTTGCGTGCTTCACATGTAAGAGGAAAGAAGTCAAATAATTTCAGAATGGGAACATTTAAGACAGGGCAGTCACTGACATCTTGAATGTATATATTGAAGCTTTCAGCAAGGCAATCTGATAAACTGACAATTAATACTAAGCTGTATCAACTTACTACTAGAATACACTTTGCAACATTGTCTTATAGAAGTATGGGAGTTTCAGTATCCCATAACTTCAAGCCCAGGATGACAAAAGCAAAAATAATAGTAATTTTTTCTACCTCTAACAGGAAATACATTTCAGCTTCCTAAATATGCAGGTGCACACTTATCATAATAACAACTGTTTGATTTGGTTTTATCACCCATACTATCAGCTTGTAGCTTTCCTTGAATTAACCCCTGGGCAGATTGTAAAACTAAGTGAAAAAAACCCCAAAACTCCACCAACATCAGGGGTATTTTCTACTAGGTAAAACCTCACTGAAAATATTTCCCATTGAGACTTAATACGTCTTCATGGGAATCTTCCCATGAATAAAGTGTTTGATGAATCTAATCTGACAGGGTTGGTGTTTTAGTTGAAAAGAGATGTATTTTATTCCAAATTCTTTTTTTTTTTTTCAATATCTTGTAGCTTTCCTGAATAGCTAGTTCTGAATTTCATTTTCACTCTTGTACTTTACCTAGAATTTGTTTTTACAAATGTTAGAAGAAAAGCTGCTTAAGCTGTTATGTATGAGCAAAATGGTACAGTGAATCTCTTACATTTCGGTGACATAATTAGCAAGAGGCTGTCATCGAAGTCTGTGTAGTTACACTTGTGTGAAATAAGATCAAGGTCTGTTCCAATGTGAAATGTGTGTGAAGAAATATCAAGATCCATCCAATTTTTCAGCCATCACAAAAACAGACGAGCAAACAGAACCCCCCACCGCCTAACTGATTTCTCTCTCTTTCTGATTTCTGAAAAAGAAAAATTGGTTTTAAAAATTAGAAGGGAATCCCTCAGTGAAAGACATATTTTATTGTATTTGAAGAAAGCTCTTTGGAAAGTTATGAATTATTTATAGGAAAACAACCATTTCACTCAGCTACTCCCCTGGGTTCAGCGTTCTCGTATGGAACAAAGGGGACGGCAGCAGCCAGAGCATTTCTTCATTCAGGGGCTGTGCAAAGTTACGCTGCAGGACCTGGAAGTCAATCAGCACAAGGGATGCTTGAGCTCCCTGTTTCGTGAGCTTGCAAGTCATTGACAAATACTACATTTTAGATGCCACAGCTGCAACCCCAGGATGAGATCCCAAAAGTTGAATACAGAGAGTTTCTGCATATTTGCTTAAAGGATGTTTCTGGTGGGAGATAATCTTTTCATTTAACAGCAATGTGCGTTAGGCTTGTCTATGTTGACACAAAGGGGAGGTGGTGAAGCAGCCTCTTTCTGTGTTCACTGTGGAGCTGGAGTTGAGAAGGGCTACCTGCAGGGCAGAGCATCTGGTGATTGATCCGCCTTGAAAAACTTGGGAAAAGGCAATGTCGGGAGGGAAGAAGGCTGGATGCCTTTGACAAGGCACTATGGAGTGCAAATAACTCCAGAAAAAAAAGCCCGGAAGTTTTCAGGGGTTATCTATGGGTGTAGGGTACTCAATTCCTAAAGAAATGAGAGTTGTATTAAAGGTGGATTGCACATCTAAGAATAAAGTAACAGTTATCTGCTTTGCTCCTGCCTTTATTAGACCAAATTAGGATAACTCCAATGGTAACAGCTGAATTCCACTGATGTAAAATTGATGGAGGCCATTGGGAAACCAGGCCAATATTTTGGGCTTAAGATCTCAAATTGAAGGTGGTGAGGTTAGCAGTTTCTTGCATAAATCGTGATTTTAGTTACAATTGTCTCCACGAGCTAGTTAGGGGACCCAGGTGTATTTAAGTGCGACACTGTCATTGGGGGAGTGTAGTCTAAGGATTGGTTCCCTCCCTAGTTTTAACAGTCGGTAGTACAGTAAGGGGGCTGGTTTGTGCTCAAGAGTGTTCACTAAAGGGGTGGAAGCAAGGGGCTTATCTCGGATCTGCATCAGTTCTGGCTCAGGACCCATTATGAATTGGGACACCTTTGGAGCTCCTGTGATTTAGAATCACAAAAATCGTGGAATCACAGAACCGTTTGGTTGGAAGGGACCTTAAAGACCACCCAGTCCAACCGCCCTGCCCTGGGCAGGGACACCTTCCACCAGACCAGGTTGCTCAAAGCCCCATCCAGCCTGACCTTGAACACTTCCAGGGATGGGGCAGCCACAGCTTCTCTGGGCAACCTCTGCCACTGCCTCACCACCCTCACTGTGAAGAATTTCTTCCTCATATCTCATCTAAATCCTCCCTCTTCCAGTTTAAAGCCATTGCCCCTTGTCCTGTCACTCCATGCCCTTGTAAAAAGTCCCTCCCCAGCTTTCTTGTCGGCCCCTTTAGGTACTGGAAGGCTGCTCTAAGGTCTGCCCGGAGCCTTCTCTTCTCCAGGCTGAACAACCCCAACTCTCAGCCTGTCCTCACAGCAGAGGTGCTCCAGTCCTCGGATCATCTTCCTGGCCTCCTCTGGACCTATTCTAACAAGTCCAAGGACTTGTGGCAGTTAGCTGTGACCCTCCAGTGGGTTCATCCATTTTCTAAGAGTTTACGGGAGTAAAACTGACCCTTCCTCTGCTCCTTTTCTGGCTCCCACCTCCACCAAGATGCTTCTTTGGAAATAAGGGAAACTCTCGAAAGGTTAACTGTAGTCTGCTCCAGAAGAAAATGGGATTAGACCAAGGAGATAAAGTCTGGCCCTTCAGATTTTCTTATAGGATTCCCAAGCATTTAATGTAAAAAATTATGCTACTTATTTTCATTAAAGTTTCCTACTGTTTTTACCTTATATAAATGGATTGGCACCATTCATGCCCAGGATGATCCCAAGTCAAGGGAGATACGGTCCTCTTCTGTCAGATATTCTTGCCAAAAAGTATCTTACAAATACTCAGACTAACAAAAGAGACATTTTTTAATGCATTTCAGAGGTTTCTGATAGTGAGCTGAGCTATAGCCATTGGTTACAGTTTACAGGAGACCCCCTATAAATTATGCAGATTATCAGCTGGAACGGACTGCGCTAACATACTTTATTGGTATGTTGTTACATATTGCAAAATAACCCAAAATATATAGGAATAACGTCGTCACTATCTGAATGATAACACAAATCATGGGGTTAGTAATCCACGCTAGCACCATTGACTTCAAGGAGTCTGATTTACATCAGTGGATGATTTGGTTCTCCCACTGCTTACCTTGACAATAAATTTAATGCTCCATAGCTACCCAGTTTAATCGTCACTGTGCTTTCTCAAATTGTACTGATTTACTCTGATTCCCAAAGGTATAACAGAAGCACCTTCTCCGTTTTCATCCCCTCCCACACATGGTAATTTCTCCTTCTCTTCTGGTGTTGTGTACAGCTCTGATCCATCTGCCAATTTTTCAGATGTTTACATCTTTGTTCTGGGTTGGTTTTGTGGGTTTTTTTTTCCCAAATGAAGATGCTGGCCTTTTTTTACCGTATCTTGAATATTGTTGCTGTGTGTTGGCACACTAGACTCTTTGTTATAGTCTCAACAGCTGTTTTTCTGTGTTGTGACTCTTTGTTCCCAAAGGACTATTTGCTCTTCTAATGTCTTTTCACAGCCACTTACAATAAATCATCCCTCCAAAAGAACAAAACCCAGCTTTAAACACGGAAAAAAAATTAGCAGAGGTTTCAAACACAACGTATTAATATGCAGAAAAGAGGGAAGTTTCCACCAAAATTGTGGTGTCACAAACCATTTTGGCTTACTCATTTTCAGTCCCAACAAGAGAATGACAAGGGACAGAGAGTGGTTTTAGGATAGATAAAATACTGAAAGTGGGATATAGTCTTCAGACAAACAGCTTATATTTTTGCCTGATTCTCAAAAATAAAACTTAGTTAATAATAAAATGTATAGTAATTCTTACTAATTAGCTAAAATGAAAATAATATCTTAAGGAAGTATACATAGCACTTTCCATCCAAAGATCTTAATATGCTTTACTGCTCTCTCTTCAACAACAGCTTCTGGATCAGTATTCAACCCCTATTTGCTCTACATCCCCTGGAAAACTGGCCAAAACCTGCCCTCAGTGACGGTGATGCTTGTCTGGATCATTTTGTTCCTGCCCACTTAGCTCTCTTTGCCTCTTGAAGCTTTGTCCTCATCTCCATTTGGCTCTTCCCCATCCACTCCAGTTCCAGAAAGATTTTAGTTGCCTCTGTCTACCGAGTGTTTTCGATTCAGTCCAAAGCTATAAGCCACGTGAAATTTCATTACCACAGCTTTCAGGGTTTGATCCTCACCTGGTATTAATAGGCATCACTGTTATGATTTGTCTTATTCTATAATTTCTAACTCCTAGCATGCATACAGATATTAGCTGCTAAAATCATGCCGGAAAAGAAGGGAGTGGGTAGGGAGGGAGGGAAAATGGTAATCTAAAATGATTTCATCTCAGAGTGTGGGTGTCATCTCATTAAATGGCTTTTTAAAAAATATTTTGATGTTAACTGTGGAAAACATCTTGGGGCGATGTTCTGCTTAGCAGAGATTACTCCATAAGGGCAGGGGAGGATGGA